TGATTATTAGTTCACACTCTTTCTTTTATAGTTTGTAATACTTTTGGTAATGTCATGCAGTATGTTCAACATTAGCTTTTTGTAAAAAAATTTATAAAATAAAAAAGGATATTGCTAAATGAAAGGAATTTTTTTTTTGCTGGATCAGCCACATTAAACATAAATGTCAAACATTTTCCAGGGGCATGCTGTTACACTTGTCTACTTGACAGCACAGTGAAACTGTAATTTAACTAACAGAATATAAAGGAAAATAAACAACAGCAAGCTTGCAGGGCTGATGCAGCTGTGATAGTGTTGTAATACAAAACCAGAAAATCACAATCAAAACTGCCTCAGTTTTAATTATAAAGGCCTTGTTCTTGAAGAATTATGACAGTTGGAAAATGATACTGCTTCTGATTGTGGAGCCCTATTATTATTATTCCTGCTATTAAATTAAGTGCCATAAATTTAATAAAGAAAAATGCAAACATGTAATTCAGTCCGATGTGTTTTGGTTTTATAATGTAAGCTATCTTTACCTATTATTTGAAGCTTTTATATAGGTAAATACACAATCTTTTTTTGATTAATTCTAAATAATTGTACAAATATTAAATACTATTGAAAAGGACACTTGCCTGTTTTTTGTTTTTTTTTTCCAATGACAAATGTTTGCAGTTTTCTCAAACAAATTGTACATTTTGCTGATTTTTTGCAATAAATAGCATGTAAGTAAAACACAAATCCTGGTGTGCCATGAAATAAATCAGTTTAGTTAATTCCCTATGTTTTAAAAATAGATTCCTTTGTGGTTCTTCGCTTTGTGCATTAAGTCAGATGAACAGTATTCAGGGTAAGAAAAATACTTGAAAAGGAAACAGTTCTCATGCTTTTCATTTTTAATGGAGCTAAAGCATAAGGTTTAGTGGAAGCATACAAAAGTGTAACAGGAGCACCATGAACACTTTCCTGCTTTTACGTGAGCTCTTGAGGAAGAAAATCTTCTAAGTGTATAACTATGTTTTGTAAGCAATTTATGTTGCCTTACCAGTATTATTATTATAAAGTGTTAAAATGGCGGTGTAGAACCACTAAACTATTCTGTTATAATTTTTATTTTGTTTATTTTGTATATTTTGTTGAGTGCTGACACTGAGAAAGAAAACTGTCCCAGTTCTTAGGAAGCTAAAGGTCTGAAGCAATTTTAAACACTGAGCCAAGTTGAGAAAGAAAACTTGAATGACACAGAAACACTACTTAATTCTCTTATTCCTGAATTGAAGCGAACAATGAAATTTATATATGGCTGCAGAGGGACAGACAAGTGAGGTGTCTCAGTTGGAAGTCTCTTAGTTTCTTATTTGCTTAACTCACTGTAATAGCTAGCCTAAATAAAGAGGCTTTGTGTGACCAAGAGACCATATTCTGACAGAACCTGATTTTTTAAGTGCCATTTAATTCCTGATTGAAAATAAAAACACATAAATGCTGAATTGATTCTTCCTTTTGGCTCAGCTGGGAGACTTGGCAATGTGTCTAAGTCAGGTATGGAGGTTTAGAACAGTTAGGATGTGATGATTCTGTAGTAAGGGTTTGTAGAAGTAAATGTTAGCATGTAGGTTCCACAAAAATACATTTAACAAGTAATTCTGCACATTAAATGAGTTCTCATGGGAGAAAGCATCTTTTCATTCAGCTCTGTCTCCTACCTTCCACAAGTACCAGCAGTTTATCTAGGAGAAGCAGCTCCAGTTCTTGTCTCCCAAAACTACAGCTGGGAAGTTTAACAAGAAGTCAGTGGTATAGGAAGCTGATTCAACTATATATAGGGCAGCTTAAATCTAAGGAACTGCAGTTGGAATAAGCCTTGATAGGCTTGTTGCTATTTTGTGCTTTAAAAGCTGTCCTCCCAAACAATGAGGTGTTACATAGATATTCTAAAAAGCACAGGATACTTCCCTCAGCAATTAGTGACAAGAAAAATACCTTTTGTTCATTTGTGGTTTTGTTCTGTTTTTTTTTTTTTTTTTGGGTTGTTGTTTTTGGTTTTTTGAGGGTTTGTTTTTTTTTGTTTGTTTTTTTTTTCTTTGTTAAGGACATAGATTTTTTGTGTAGCTGACTACTAGAAGAAGAATAAATGGTTTATTGTATAAAAAATGCAGTTTTGCAATATTTGTACTCAAATTATTATCAGGAAAGTTACTGTAATGATTTTTGAAATAGGATTTAAAATTTACTGTAAGGATTGCATTCAGGTACTGGTATACTTGGGTTGATTTAAACAAGGCTGTAAATAAATCTATTGTAATTTCTCCAATTAAAGTAGAGGAGTTAGTACCACCTTTGAGATTTTCAATTGCTGGATCTAAACTCTTTGAGAAAGGCTGGATTGGTCTTGGGGAACAAAGGCAGAACTAATAGTTCAAAAATAACTAAACCTGGCAGCCAAAATAAATGTTTTCATTTGACAGAGACACATTTTTTGTCACATGAAGGGTTTTGTCAATGAATTTTTAATCAAAACTGTTTATCTTTTCTTTGGTTTGTTTTCTGGATGATTAATTCAGTAGCACTGCTGTAATTTCTTTGTTTACTTTCACCTACTATTGATTAAGACAAAGGAATTCCAGATGTCCAATGAAACCTAATTGTAAAGCATTTCCTAAATTCTGCTAAGTATATTTTTAGCTGGGACCAAGGATTGTGTTCATGTTTTTAAATAAAGTACATTTCACATTCTTAGTCTTGGAAAAACAATTTTGTTCTAAAAATGAAAACATTCATTTAAGCCATGTTTCATTTGAATACAGAAGCAGAAGCAGACTGTTCAAAATGTATAAAGTTTATTCAAGAACTCGGTTTCCAATTCTTGCAATTTCCTTTTGCATAAAGCTATATAAAGATAGGCAACTGCAAATACTAAAGGACTGTGAAATGGAAAAAAAAAAAAAGCTTGTGTTTGCACAATCACCAATGAAGCTTTTCTCTAATTTTTCCAGTGTAACAATTGAAACCAGTTGCAAGAACAGCTGTAAATAATTATTTTTGAGGGAGTAAATATGCAAACAAATCAGTTCACTATGCTGGTAGTGATTTTTTCTCTTCTCCATTTGGATCATGCTTTTGGAAACAAACTAGAGAACTGCATACTCTAACTTCCCTGTGCTATAATTTTCTGTTACTCTGTAACTATTTACTGACATTTGATTCAAGTAGAAACAGTAATTTTGAAGTATTAAAGAGGGGGGAAAGACATCCACATGGAGATATCAGAAGTTGTTATTTAGTGATGTATGAACTATGTTGAGATTAACAGCAATTCAGATTGTAGCATCAGCTGATTATGCTCTGGTAACATTATCATAAATTTTGTTTCTCTACTAACCACACCTAAAAGAGAAAAAATAGTGACAAGATGTCGCCAGTCGTGCTTGAAAACATGCGCACAACTTCTATACTCTCTGATGTCAGTGTTGTAGAATAATGAAAAGAAGAATCAAATTTAAGCAATGAAAAGGATCATATTGGTGATTTGGGTGGCAGTGCTGAGGGTTCAGCAAACCTCTTTAGGTTTTGGTACTACTCAGAATCCACCTGTGAACTGAAGCAAGTCCAGATTTCCACAAGAAAGGTGATAGTTATTGCAGTATCTAAATGAAGTGCCATCCTGCTTAATAGTGTTACCAGCCAGGGGACTGCACCCTGATTTTCCTAGGTCTTTAGGGGTCAGGATATTCTTGCCTGGAAAGTCTCAGTTCAATCCCTTGCTGTGAATTAATTGGCAAATCACATTGAAAATGCGCCACCAAAACAAAAGCTTAACATGTATAACTTAAAAGTGTTGTGCTTCTATTGCCAGCAGAACAAAGAGATTTTAACTATTTTGGAGTATCTGGCTAACATTTAGGGGTTGGATTAGTGAATTATTTGTTTGATACTCCGTGGAAATGGGCATATGTTCCTTGATGTCAGAACAACGTCTGAAATTTCTAAGGACTCGAGTCCCAGTTTTGCTGTTAATACTACACCTGTACGAGATTGGTGACATTACAGTTCTCCAAGTTACTCGTAGTTTTTAGGTATCTGGTACATGCAAGGGTATTTGCTGACCTTTATTTTAGTACTCAAACTTTCTAATCAATTAAGTCTGCTTGTATTACGGTTTGTAAAAGCTTGTCCATGGAGCTGGAACCACCTAAATTGGCTTTAAGTTCAAAAATAACTAATTGGCTTTGAGCCAGGTTTCTGTTAAAGTGTGCCTCAGCTAAGGGCTTAGGCTTAGAGACATGTAATGTCAAGATATACAGTTGTGGAGATAAACATTTCTCTCCCTATGGCCAACAGCCCTGGACTCAATCCTGAAGACAGGAGTAAGTGAATGAGTCAAACCCCAAGAAAATGCAATTTCAGATATGGAAGATGTGTGGCTTCCTACTTCTCCTTCAGGCAGTGTAACAGCAGTTGGAGCACTAACGTGAACCCTTGCTTCACTCGCCTAAGCTCACCTTAAGTGTTTCCTACTTGCACTGCTGGAGCTCTTGGAGTTTGCATTAATTGCTGAGGGCTCCATCCTGCTGCTGAAAGGCAGTTTTAGTCCCATACATCAGGGGGACACTCTTAGAGAAATTGCAAAGGCAGCCCTTGAAGCAGGGACTGCCCTGGGCTTTACCATAATAATAGTGAAAACTGTTAACGGGGGACTCTTTCTCAGCTCTGGTTTTTGTGTGTTTTTCTTGTTTTCTTCCCTTTTTTCACCAGAGCTGAAGTGGCAAGTTTTTAAAAAGTTAGTAGTTATTTTGTCCTAATTCTTGTGTTTTAAAGGTGATTAATTTTTTTTCCCAAAGGTGGATATTCATGGTTTACTAAAAATCCTTCTGTAAATAGACACCAAGGCACTATGTGATAGCTCGTTCCTGGATAATAAGATTGTAAAGTACATACAAAACAGCATCAAAGGAATTAAAAACCCATGAGGTTTAAACATCAGACTATTAAATACAAGTCTTGCTACCCAGCGGTGTGCAAACAATTTATTTGTGTTCAGTGCAACACTGTACAGGGGAACGGGTCTGCAGTTGTATTTTGTTACAAGGCCAATAAACGGTTTGTCAGCTCTGGTGAGCATTTATTTTGTATCTAAAGTCTTAATGTAAAAAATAATAACTGTTTTACTCTGTGATGGAGTTCCACTCTGACAGGATCAAAAATACCAGTAAACAGGTGCAGATGGGAATGAAATATTCCTCTTAATTGAAATCTGTGGGCTGCATAAAAGGATTTTTTTCCCACTGCCCAAATAGTTCCTTGTGTCAGACAATCTGAAGACACATTTTTTTTTACTAGTCCAGCTGGCACAACAGATTGCCTTGTTGAATTAGCATGTCCTAAAATAAAAAGATTTAAATAAATATGATGGTACAGGCAGTAGAACAAACAATTGCTATCAAACATACTTCTCTGTTGTATAGTGAATGGATTTGAGACACAGAGAGGCCTTTGTGACTCCTGGAGCTTTTTGCATTAGTTATTTCTATATGAATCTCAGTAACAAGTAAATCAGCATATGTGTTGCCAAATTAAAATAGAAAGCTATTAGCAAATCAACATCTTTTACACAGAACTCATACAAATACCACATTTTTTATCCTGTGTTATTGCAAGAACAAAATTGCATAGACCATTTGCTGGCACTTTCTGAATTCTCCAAATAATGGTTTGTCTTACAAATAATTCAAGTAGTTCCCTCAATTTAATTTCACCCACTAATACAGTAAGTGTGTACATGTAGTGAGAGGAAAACCCACGAATCTCAAAAATATGAACACTGACATAATCATCTGACTGAATAATAGTTCAGCAAGGAAACATTTGTTTTATTTTTTTATGCTCTCTGTAAGGCTGTTTTCCAAGTGTTACTGACAAAACATTTGATTCAAGTCATTCTTCTGAAGTGGAAATGTCATTTGTGCTCTTCTTCCCCTTACACCCTGTATTCCAGAACTGTAGATGCAGATTTGTTCCCTAAATTGTAAGTGCTTTGTTTTTAAAATGCTGAAAAATATGCTTTCAGTAATGCTCTTTAGGAGTAATACAAATCTCAGATGCCCAAAGGGGTGTGTGGCCTTTTGGGTGCCTCACTGGCAGACTCGGCTGTATTCTTGGCAAGTGGAGCCCACGCCGGCCACTGACAAGTAGAGCTTTCCATCTGGACACACACAGATTTCATAGAGCCCCTGAGAAATCCCAGATCCACCCCTGGCACCCTCAGGCAGCTTGGGCAGTCGCACCGTTTCAGCATCGAGCAAAAGCTGTGAGGGAAAAAGAAGGAGAAATAGAGTTGCTAGAGATAGTAAAGCAATAACGTGCCATGAGACAAGTTGAATTTGGCTAGGCAGAGGCTTAAGAATGGCCTTTTACAAAGGACTTGTTACATACAAAGTTTCTCTGAGCCCTAGGTTCTTGGCAGATATAAACACAGGACAGGAATAAGCTGGTGCCCACCCTCGTCTTAGGCAGAGAACTCGTGAAGTTCAACAAGGCCAAGTGCAATGTCCTGCACCTGTGTTGGGGCAATCCCCAAAACGAATACAAGCAGAGTGATTAATGGATTGAGAGAAGCCCTGAGGAGAAAGATGTGGGGTACTGACAGATGAAAACCTATTTATGAGCCAGCAATGCATGCTCACAGCCCAGAAAATCAATCACATCCTGGGCTGCAACAGGAGCAGCATAAGCAGGGCAAGGAGGGGATTCTGCCTCTCTGCTCTGCTCTGGTGAGACCCCACCTGCAGTGCTGCATCAGCTCTGGGGCCCCTAAAATAAGAAAGGGATCTGTTGAAGTGAGTTCAGAGGAGGAACACGAAGATCCTCAGAGAGGTGGAGCATCTCTCCTATGAGGAAAGGCTGAGAGAATTGGGATTGTTCAGCACGGAGAGGGGAAGGCTCTGGGGAGACCTCATTGCAACCTTCCAACATTTAAAGGGAGCCGGAGCCTACAAGAAAGCTGGGGAGGGACGCTTTATCAGGGATATTGGCTTTAAATTGAAAGAAGATAGATTAGCTATAAAAAAGAATTGCTTTCAGTGGTGAGGCACAGGAACAGGTTGCCCAGAGAAACTGTGGATGACCCATCCCTGGAAGTGTTCAAGGCCAGATTGGGTTGAGCTCTGAGCAGCCTGGTCTAGTTGAAAGTGTCCCTGGCCATGGTAGGGGAAGTTGGACCTGAATAATGTTTAAGGTTCCTTCCAGCACAATTCCCTCTATAATTCTAAGGTAAGTGACAGGGTCTCTGCCCATGCACAGAAGAGCAGGACACAAGCACTGCTGCTGGACCCAGGTGTGTCCTGGCCTGAGTTCTAAGGCCTCACTGCGGAGCCAGCTGGTTAAGGATGGACGTGGGTTGGTCTGTAGTTCCTCTGTGGAATAACTGGCACAGTACAGCAGAGGGGATAAATAGGCTGCTGCATGTTGCCTGCGGTTAATGATGTCTGCAGAGCTTCCCTCCTTAATTTTGTCACTTTGGGGGTGTATCTGCTTCTGAGCCAAAGTTCTCCGCTGGGGTGCCGGGAATCACTGTGGTAGTGGGGAGCTAAGCAGTATCCAAGTTTTATTAGAAAGCATCTCCCTAAGCTAATACAACATTATGTCTGTTGGTACTATTATTTACATAAATAAAAGTTTTATTATTGGCACTATTTATTTCAATATCCTGCCACCAAAAACCTGAGGAATTTAATTAACAGAACTTGAAAAAAAGACTTGAAGTTAGAGTCACACAGAAGATCAACCACAGTTATTGGAAAAGAAGGGCTTGAACTCACCACGCCATCACTGCTGTGTAGCTTGATATCCATCTGGGAAAGAGCTTCAATATTCCCAGCTTGTGCTTTGATATTAATTCCTCGTGGTGCATCCATGCTCAAAGATCGAGTTGGTGATTCCAGCCTAAAAGCAGGAGCAGGAAATTGGACAGTAGCACAATCTCATATGTTCCTTTATTTTAGAAAAATAAGTAAACATTGAACAAGACCTTTCAGGCTCTGAAGTCATATAAAAGATGCATTTTCCCTTTTCTTTAGGTGGACTTGAAAAAAGAGGAAGCTATTTTGAAAACCAACAAAGCATCCCAAATGAAAAATATAGATTAATTCATAATACAAATGCAAGGTATTATTCCATACATAACTGCAGATTATTTCAGTAAAAGAGAAACCTAATCTATTAACCTGAAACCCAGTTTTACATTGGTTAGTTTCAATTTGTTTTCATTTTTGACATAGTAAGACATTGAAATAAATACAATTAATATAGTCTGGAACTTTTTTTAATCAGTGAGATTTTTGACACTGCAATTAGCTGGACCAAGATTTCACTCTCTGTATGTGTGTTGTTTAACTAGATGACATCTGAAACTTAAAAACTGTTAATTTGAAATAAAAAGTATACAGTATAACAAACAGCAAGTTGCAAACCCTGCAGTGCCACAAGATGGCAGGAAGGCACTGTATTATCTGAGTAATCACCTTGTTAGATCAGCTGTGCAGGAATAATGATTTTTATTTTTCAAAGAGATAAGGCTTTGTTGCTTCAGAATTTTGCTATAATTTTCATGCTAAGGGGTAGAAATACTAATTAAAAATAATGAGAAGGAAAGAAAAAGCCCAATCTTAGCAACAGGCTAGTGATTATATTGCTTCTTTTGACTATTACTAGAACTGCTTCATCTCGAGGCACTGCAGGATCAGAATTGATACCTATTAGGTTTTGATCATGCTTATTTACTTACCCTTCCTGATGACACTAGCCAACACTAAACAGGTGATTATGAAGGCTCGAGAAAGTGAGACAACTGGTGGTCCCTGCTTACATGTGCTGGCTTTCCTATTCTCTGGACATATACCAAAGAACGTGGGTTGCATCCACACTGTAGAACACACACTTGTTTTCAAGCCTGCATGTTCTCAGCCACTGCATTTTCTAGAAATGCAGAGGGTTGGTGTGTGTGTGTGTGTGTGTGTGTGTGTGTGTGTGTGTGCAGATGTTGTACTGGCTCCATAAGTGCTCCACAGCTGTCAGTCTGGGCGAGTGGAAGCTGTGCCCAAGCAGAGCTTTACTGGGAATTGTGTAGTGAGTCCAGGCTCTGACTGCCAATCATTGGCAGAAATTAGCTGTCTAATTTACTGAGACTCAAGTCTTCATTTTCTTTTTGTTTTCCTGTTACTTCATTAAAACAAGAATATAAAAGGAGACAGTTTGTGCTAGTAAGAAAGTTCAGTTGTATCTTTGAGTTCTGAAGAAGCTAAATCCAACTGATAACTTAAAACCTAAATCCATGATACCTAAGCACAATCACTGAAACTTCATTTTTTTATCCTCAAATCTGAAAATAGCTCAAGCAATATTGGCTTATCACTGCTGGCCAGAGTTAGAAGAAGATTATATCTTCTCTGATCTTAAAAGGTCCCTTCCAACCCAAACCATTCTACGATTTTTACATTTCTATAATTTGCCTCTCCCTGACATCTCCTGGGTTAATCGCCTTCAATTAGTTTAAACCGATTTGACTGATAAATAAATAAAATACTAATAATGGGTAAATGCATAATGGCCCCATATTGAGACCATATCCACAAAATAATTTGATGCCTCATTCCATGAATCTGAGATAGCACAAACTTCTGCCATGATCATGCTGTCTACCAGGTCATGAGAACGAGTTCTGAATCAGACAACCAATACAGTATTAGTAATCTTTATTAAGCAGTGTTTGGAATTTAACAACTTTTGTATGAATTTTTGATTTAGATCTCTAAATTTATACCTCTATGAAATAGAAAATCAATTTTTCCCTGAGTGATTAATGTGGGAGGTCTGCTTCATAGGAATATTTTTCAGTGCACATTTGTATGCATTATATACTGAAAAATTTAAAAAGTTTCTATTTTCAATCTTTTAAATTTAATGTATTTTCATAAATTAGTGTCAAAGGACTTAAATATAACTTTGCCATAGTTTGCCTTAACAAAAAGCTTTAATCTCTGAAATACCTAATTTTCTTTTGTAAAGTATTTCACCTACATAAGCAAGCTATATGTAGGCATAAATTTTTATTTTTAAACTCCATTAAATATCACAAGACAGCAGACTGGGAAAAACTTCTGAGAATATATCAGACCTGGAGTTTAAAAAGCAATCAAACATGAGAGAAATATTTCATACTTTCTACAAAAATTAATGCTGGCATGAAGCCTACAGACTTCGGAAGCACTTAGATTTATGATATGACATACACATAATTTAAATTACATTGCAGAATTACATTTGCTATATTAATCACAAACCTAAATTTCTGCTGTTTATACAGGTCCTATTTCTAGATTAACTCAGCCTGGATTTGCCTAATTAAGCACGTCATTGAAGCTTCCTGGCAATGCAAACTGTGATGAATCAGTGATGTGAACTGTAATATGTGAGATTCTAGCAAAGGCAAGAGTCAATAACACTAATGATGCATTTCTTTGTACAGTATTCAAAGGTTTGGTGTCTGAAGTCCAGATGAACTCAAAGGGAAATGGGCACCTAGTGTAGAAACAGCCTAAGTTGAACCTTGACTTTGAATGTCCCTTCTCAGTCCCCACACTGATGTTCATCTCTCAGGTGTCCTGGCAAAACAAGAATTCAGTTTGTCTGAAAATGATGGAGGGTGCTTGGAGAATAAGAGGGAAGAAATTAATTGTCTTAGAATTTTTGGTCACTTTATAATATTTGAATTTGTGCATTAGAATGATGAGGGAATATATTGTTACCAGTCACTTTATTTTTTTTTAAACTTACAGACACATAAATTACATTTAAGACAATGAAGTGAATGATCTTTACCATCTGGGGAAATTAATCTATGTAATGTGCTGTCCTAAATGTGACATCTGTCACAGCCTCGATCTCACTTGGGAAGATGGATTCTGTACTTATGAGAAGCTTCTAGGTACTGCAGTAGCTGCCAGGGTCAATTAGCAAGGGGTGTGGTGCAAGAGAAATTGATCTGGGCAGCACAGCATTTGATGCCAAGGACCTGACAGCCCATTATATGTGTCCTGAGGAGAACTCTGGACTAGCTGTTGCTAACTGGATGCCCAGAAAGGTTGGAGCACATTAGGTGTTCTCCAAGAGATCACAGATTTCAGATTAGTTTAACGCAAATGTCACCCTGTCCATGTACCCCAAACAGTTCCACAATGAAAATCAAGGTGTGGAGAGCTCAGGCCATTGGGAAATCTCCCTCCAAAGCATGTTTGTAATTTGAATTAAGACACTCAAGTAGATATACTCACAGATTGTAAGGCAATGCAAGCCACACCTGGGCCCACCTGCAGAATAGTTACTTTGTCTTGCTCCCCTTCACCCTGATTCCTGCAGCCTGAGAAACTGCACATGATAGACTGGGAAGAGTGAGGGAATAGGTGGTCCCTGGTACTACATTACAGCTGTCATTTGCTGGATATTGGTTCTCCATAGCCCATTGCAACTAAAGCAGTTGATTACAGCAAAGATAATATTTACTTGTTGGTAAGAGTTCCAGGAGTCAACTATACTGTCTTGTCTGGCAGCCAGAGAAAGCTGAGCTGTGCTAAATAATGAACGAAGGACTGTGTGAAAAAATATTCTGAGGGAACTTCAGAACACCAGCATCCAGGCTCTGAATCTGAAACTATCCCAACAACTGAAAGGCTCGGATATTTCCCTTTTCCTATAAGCATGTTGCAAACTCATGGAGATGTTAGATCACCAGAAATTGCTCAGTTGGCTGTTAGGGAGGATGTGAGGGCAGGGAGAGCCTGCAGCAGTTCTTGTAAAGAAGCAGATGACACTGCCTGTGCAGGCTGCAGGAATATTGATCTCTTTTTTCATCCTGGTCTGGCAGGAGTCAGGATGCCTTACAGATCTTTTAAGTACCACAATGTTTTAGAAAGCTAGTTCTACCACTGAAGAAAGAGTACCACAAGTTTTCTACTGCACTTTGGAATTGCTTGACCCTTAGAGCTGGACAGAGGAACCAGCTTGCTCTTGGGTAATTGTTTATCCTTTCCTTCTGACCCCTTTTTGACTTTTCCAGCTCAGGAGTCATCATCTCTACTGAATTCAATGGGAAGAGAATTCCGTGGTATGACCTTGGACAGAAGTTGCCCATCTGTATGCATTCTTCCCTGCACCTATCTAAGGAAGATCAGGATGACTGTAACTGGACTGAACATGTCCAGGATTCCACACTACTTCTAATACTGTAGTGCATCCAACAACTGTGCATCCCTGGGAGTGTCCAAGGTCAGGTTAGACAGAGCCTTGAGCAACCTGGTCTAGTGGAAGGTGTACCTGCTCATGACAGGGCGTTAGAACTAGATGACTTTTAAGGACCCTTGCAACCCAAACCATTCTATTATTCTATAATCAAAACATCTTTCTCACATCATCAGGTAAGGAAGAGACCCTCTATATACTTTTGGCATGCAAAAAGAAATCCTACCATGAACACCTACCCCAGAATTCATCTGACTTTGTAAAGGTTAAAGGGGAACAGAAATTAAATTATGATAATTAAACAAGAAATGATTATAGTAATTTTTTATTAAAAAAAGACTAGAGGTCATGGAGCAAAGGATGACAGAAAAGGCAAGAAATGAAGAGGGAAAAAAAAAACTCATGAGAGAAAAAGGGGAAAAAAGAAAATCTTTAACCTGTCAAGGAACGAATGTTTTGAAAGGCAAAAAAGGAACCTAGAGGATTCTGTGGGCTTAATTGGCCTTGGTTCTCTGTAGATGTCTGCTTTGATCCCTGCTTTTTTGAATGCACCTTAACCTTTAAAAGGCAATAGGAGTATATTGACTTTTTGATTAGTCTGAAAGCAGTCTAATTCCCCAGCCATGCAGCTAGACATTGTAAGAGAGTAA